TCTCGAATATTCTTACATAAAACAACAGGGGATGGGAAATCGGGATATAGTTATGATTTTTAATCCATTTTAAATACTTAAACTTTTTAAAATAGAATAGAATCTCATAGAAAAAAGAATTGCGCACCAAGCGAACTTCGAATAAAGATGTGTATAATAGTGCGGAATATTATTAGTACTTTATAAATTCACATGCGTTTTTTGAGAAATAAGAAAGAGTAAAAATTACTACATCCGGTCAACGGAAATTACTCAAAATTTGACAGAAAGCAGAGAATAAGATCCTTTACTTACATGTGAAATTTCATTTAACTACCTGAAACAGTACTCAAGTTATAGGTTTTTGAAAAATTCAAAGCAGAAAACGTTCCTTTACCGGTTATCGGAAATCGCTTAAAAGTTGATACGGATCTACGATTTTGATATAATACTTATATATGAAATTTCATCAACCTAGCTGTAACGGTACTCAAGTTATCGTGTTTACACACACACACACATACAAAAACACATACGGACAAGATTGCAAAACTATGTTTTTCCGACTCAGGAAGGTGCAAAACGTCGAGTTTTGCAAAAATCTCAATTTTTTTTCACGATTACAATACTTTCACTATACTTCGTATATACGAGAAAGTAAAAAAGATCTTATGCACTACCAATTTTTTTCATGTTTGTATATATATATATATATATATATATATATATATATATATATATATATATATATATATATATATATATATATATATATATATATATATATACATATGTTGTTTTTTTTGTCTGTTTGGTGACAGGAGAGAATCTGCACAATTTGTAGAGCTGTGAAATATGTATTTAAGTAGAGAATTAAGTTTTTTTTCACCAAACTGTTAATCACAAATTTATTTAAAGACATTAATTAATTTATTGATATATATTCATTGGTGGAAACACCACTTTATAAAAGTTCAGAACAATGAGTTTAGTTATAGTGACGTCACATGATTCATTTAGTTTTTACAACAATCGTGGTGGCTCCCATACTACCCATTCAAAGTTTTAACGCGTTACAAATCTAAATTTTCTGTCGGCTATAGTCCAATTGCTATTTTTATTAGGTTCCAACACTATTAACAACTAGTTATAGGTACCCGTTACACGGGCTATTCTGGTGACTTTTAGCTCTCTTCTCTTTACAAAAGGCTACCAGGTTTTTCTATTAGATATTTATCTCCGGGTAGCGGCTTTTAAAACTGTCCGGAGGAGAGTGTGTGGGTTGTGTATGCGTGGTGGGGGGGGGGGGGGGGGGGGAATGCGTAGCGGATACTGTTTTTTTTCTATATTTTTGTATGAATTACTTTTTTCAATTTCGTTCGGAGGTGAAAGGGGAAGAAACGATATAGATGCCCGAAGAAAATTTATACCTACGGAAAGTGAGTAATGAAATGAATTGTAATTCAGCTTTTAAAAGATTCACTATCGGAAACTTAAGAAAAGAAACATATTATAGATCAAAAGCATCGGAATGAATCATTCTTAAGATTATGAAAATAAACCGGGAGTATTCTCCCCTAAACTTTATTGAATATTCTTATATAACACTACCTGGGATGGCAACTCGCAATATAGACATGATTTTTAATTACTTAAACTTTTAAAAATAGAATAGAATCTCTTAGAAAAAAGAATTGCGCACCAAGCGAACGCCAAAACAAAATATGCATAATAGTGCGGAATATTATTAGTACTTTATAAATTTACATGCGTTTTTGGAGAAATCGGAAATAGCGTAAATTACTACTTCCGGTCAACGGAAATTACTGAAAAAAAATGTTAGAATGTAGAAGATTAGATCTTTTACTTAAATGTGAAGTTTCATTTATCTATCTCAAATAGTACTCAAGTTATAGGCTTTTAAAAACTTCCAAGTAGAAAAAATTCCACTTCCGGTTATCGAAAATCGCTCAAAAGTTGATAGGGATGTACGATTTTAATAAAATACTTATATATGAAATTTCATCAACACATATATATGTAACGGTACTCAAGTTATCGTGTTTACACACACACATACACACACACAGACAGACACACACATACACACAGACATACGGACAAGATTGCAAAATTATGTTTTTCCGTATCAGTGAGGTGTAAAACGTCGAGATTTGCAAAACTCTCGATTTTTTTAAAGCTCGATTACATGACTTTCTCTATGCTTCGTACATATGAGAAAGTAAAAAAAAATTCATAAAAAACGTTTTAATAACAAGCTTTTATGTAATAATGCACTAAAAAGTAGAAAATAAATTATACACTACTAAGGGTCTCTTCTCAAATATTAGTAAAACTAAAGTACTAAAGTGACCCACGCTTTTCTTTATAGTAATTACTATAAAGAAAAGCGTGGGTCACTTTAGTACTTTAGTACCTATTGGATACTTTTACTAATATTTGAGAAGAGACCCACGCTTTTCTTTATAGTAATTTAAATAGTAGTGTATAATTTATTTTCTACTTTTTAGTGCATCATTACATAAAAGCTTGTTATTAAAACGTTTTTTATGAAAAAAAAATTCAGTACTTTACATTTTTTATTTAAAATAGTGTTACATGACTAAAAACCATTGCGCGTCTATTGAACGTGGTGGCGCAGCTATTAAACCTGATGGCGCAGCTATTGAACGTGATGACGCGTGTGGTGTGGTTGGATAGACATGCCTACTAATTCGGTCCAAATTTTAATTAATTCATAAAAAATAAATTAGGCATCCAATTAAGTCAAATTTAATTTCAGATTGCATTGTCTTTATGTCTTGACCCACGTGTCAAATGTGAATCGTATCGGTCAAGTAGAAGTGTCCGAATTTTCACTCCTGCGTTTCGATCTCATTGTAACATTTCTCATTCATCTATTATATTCTCTTTTTTTTATCTCATTTTGTATTATAACTATGTAACATTATTTCTTTATTCCACATTTTTAGTGCTATGTTACTGCTATGTGTTATTGAATTGTTTTATTTGTTTAAACGGCCAATGTGAAAAAAGGCCTTCGTGCCTACAATTGTAACCGTTTTTTGAATATATTTGAATAAATTTGAATTTGAATTCGATCTAGACTGACGACAGACAGACTGTCGACTGACGACAGAGGAAGTGAGTTAAATAAAAGCTTGTAAAAAAAGGTTTTGTTTTATGTATTCTATGTTTATACTTATTTTTTAAAAAACATAGACTATCAATACCTATAAGAAAAATTAAAACCAAATTATATACAGTATTAGTCAACACAATACCATATTAAATACACTCGCTGATTAAGAGACTTAAAATTAAGAGACTTAAAAGATTTCGATAAAAATCCGGCTGTTCAATGGTAGTTATGTTGTTTTTGTCTTTTAAAAACACCTATTTCGCTAGAGCATAGGTCTTACCACATTATCCCTTCAAAAATAGGTGTACTCTACTTCACCCGCCACGTGTCCCGCCAAGTCCCTATAGGCAACTTTATCATTCACATATTAAAAAAAAAAAAGGAAAAAAAAATTCCGATTGACTTTGTGTGTCTCAATCCCGTACAACCCGCATGGTATCAATTACACTATTGTCTCAGCTTTTTAGACACTATACTTTTTATGGAGAATAAGACAGTTACTTAAGAAACTTAACTTATGCGAATAAGCCATATTCTTTCAAATTATATTTTATCACAAATTAGCCAATTGCGTAGCTAAACAACCAAAGATATTTCAATAAAATAAATAAGGCCTGAAATAGTTTAGTATAGAAATTTATTATCGGAATAGATTCTAGATCTAGGTAGGATCTAGATCTAGATATGTCTAAGTCTAGTTTTTCCGTAGATTTAGATCATCTATATCTAGATCTAGATCTTGAATCCTAATAGATAAATTAAATTTTTTAAGTTTAGGCCGAGAAAATTGTATTGTATGCATTTCATAGCGTACTTAGTTCTAAATCATATTTGAATGAAATAGTTTATTTCTTTATATTCTAAACTCGGAAGATGACGCCATTAGTTTTGTGCTCTTTCCTTAGTGTAAACATTAGTGACGTCATTGTTTAATGCGTTCTTTTCACAACTATAAACACTTTTTCGGGTGCATAATTAAAACTGTTTTTCTACATTTGAATATGCCTTTAGTTTTTATTTTTCTTCTTTAAACAAAATTTTCTTTATACATTTAAAACATCTACCATATTATTTTCAACAAAAGTCCGTATCAAGTTCTCCATATATCGCTGATGGCCTGTGAAAATATTTTGCGGACAGAGAGAGCGAAGTGCGCACATGGGCTTTTATATATTAGGATTTTCAACAATTCTTCTAATTTGAATATTCAATAAATTTTTCTAGATCTACAGATAAGCTGTTGGAGGAAAGGAAAAGTCAATCCCAGGTAAAAAAAATCTAGAATCTAGGTAAAACCAAAATTAATAATAAAGTTGCCTATCGGCACTTGGCGGGTTACAGGGCAAGTTAAGTAGAGTTCACCTGTTTCTGTGTCCTCAGCATATGAAGTGATAGTAAAATCAGATCCATGCTCGGCCGAAATCAGTGTTTTAAACGCTAAAAACATGTTGCCTAAGACTTGGCGGGACACTGGTCAGGTGAAGTAGAGTTGGGCAGGTGTAGAGTTTACCTTTGGCGTCAGCGTATGAAGGGATTGTGTGCTCAGCCGAAATCGGTGTTTTAAAAGACAAAAACATGTCTGAGTTGGCGGGACACTGGGCAGGTGAAGTAGAGTTGACCTGTTTTTGTGACCTCAGCATATGAAGGGATAGTGTAGTCAAACCCATGCTCAGCCTAAATCGGTGTTTTTAAAAGACAAAAGCGTCTGAGGTTTGTTGTCTTTTTAAAGATGGGGTAGGGTTTTTTTTGTGACGATAAGTGACAGACGTGATGTCATTTATGGATTGATCCCCGAAACCCACAGTTATCCAAGGATAACGGGTAGTCTAGTATTATATAAAAATATACGAGAAAGATAAACTGAAATCACTCCTTTATTTATTTAATACTTTTACTCAAAAGCAATGATTGGCAATGATTTTTTTGTTTGATACAGTAATAATTATTATTATAAACCAGGACCTTCATTCACCTTGGCGTTCTGTGATATGTATGTTTAAGAAATATTAATATAATTACATTAAAAATAGTGTCGAACAAATTAAGAAAAAGAAATTACAACGCTTGGATATATCTTGCAATAGATATAGGTAAATGAGAAATATAACAATGACTTAGGTTTGGAGGTCATAAATTAATAGGTTTGTTATGGGTTTGTTTGAAAGATTTACCTAGACAAGTTGTCTTATTGTATATTGTTTACTACAATATAATCAGAATATCAATTTTAATGGAAAAATCTATACCATTAGGTCAGCTATCTAATAATTGTATTTACTTTTGTTGTGGATCTGTTTAGTTTTGTAGATTGCTGATGCTTGTAAAATATATATCTTATAACATAAGAACGATATTATGCTGTGTTATGAATAAAAACAACGTGAAGTTAAATACACGAAAATGATGGCAAAGAAATAAAACTAAATATTTGTTTAGAAAAACAAAACAAAAAGCAAGAGATTATTCCGTTCGATCTCATCCCCTTAGATGGCTTTGACGATAGATTTCCAATACGACCAAAAATCAAATGGATTGTAAATTCATTTTTGTTATATTTTGTGTCGTATTGTGTTAAGTTGCGCTTTGTGGTGTATTAATTTATAAATATTTATTAAACAAACTTAACTAGAGATTGTTTACTTTAATACCAACAGACTTAAACTTTGCTGTCACCAGCCCGAACTGTCGAATAAAGCCAATCGGTACTTAATAATGTATTTCAGAAGAACTAGCTTATCATACAGCAGAGTATAGCATAACATTTTAAGAATATTTTTACTTGGTGTTAACACATTTAATGGTATCAACATAAATCTAAAAATGATATTTTGTCCCACAGACAAGATGTGGATTTATGTTAAGTAAAAGATAATGGATATTTAAAACGATTTTGCATTTTCAGTCCGACTACTAAACCCCAAAGAAGAAGCAAGTCTTTAGTATTTCATTTCCCTTACGGTACTTGCATGTTATAACTTGTATTCCTCGTTTAGTATCTGTGTAGTAAAAATAAGTGCCCCATTCTTTATCTATAATTTTTGGAGTTTTTTCTGCTGTAGCATTGGCAAAGTTTAAATACTCTTGCATACTTAAGTTTCTTTCAAGCACTGGATGTAATCTATGTTTTCTATAATGTTTAGCTCCATTTATATTATTACAAAATCTTAGTCTAGAATTGGCACCGCCATACTCTGTTATGTGTTCTTGCAATTCAATGATAAGCCTTTGTTTAAAGTCTTCATCTTGAATTTTATTATTTGAATAGTTTATCAAATGAGTTAAACAAGAAGGATCTGACGGATCAATGATGATGTCTGGTTGCTCTTTCATGTATATGTCAATGTATTCTAGAGTAGAGCAAAATGCATTAAAACTTTGGTAATTGAAATGCTCTGCAATCTCTTTCCCAAAGTTAATGTAACTGTTAGAACAATAAAAATTTTTTTCTAAAATATTTTTGATTTTCATAATATTGTGACGTGTTAAGTTAGAAAAAATATTTTGCAAATTCCCCATGTTTAAAAGACGTTCAACATACACTTTATCATTCGCATCACCCATTTTCTAATCTGTAAGATAATATATCGAAATAAACGTTCTTTACAATATTTTTTTAACATTAGTTTTTAAAGTCAATGGACTTTTTTTCAAATTCTCCCTTTTCAAACCACCAAGTATGATTTTCAGGGATTTGTTCCGGGCGTAAAAGTTGAAGTTCTGTATGCTCAACAGAATTAAAACTTTTTTCGCTAGAATTCTTCCAATCTTTTAGGTTAGTATCGAATTCAGAAATGAATTGTATGAAATATGTGTCTTCAAACAAAATGTTCAATTGTTTCCCATCGCCTGTTGGAAATCGCTTGTAGTTTTCCAACATAAACTGTAATCCTGACCTAAAAATCAAATAATCAGGAATATAATTAGCATCAAATAAATATGCATGACGAAACAAACGGCTTTTGATGGTTTTAAAGCAATTGTTGATAAGGGGTCCAATTCGCTCTCCTTCTTCGTCATTCAGTATTACTCCATTTTTACCAACTTCGTAGCATTCCTTTATGACCCTCTCTCCCAAATAGTAGTTAGGTACATCTGAAGCCTTTGCAATGCACTTTTCAAGGGCTAAAATTAGCTGTTCTGTAAATATAAGTTATAAAAACAACTATAAAGCAGTTTAGAAACGGTTTTCATGTGATATAATAACATACATATAACTGATTACCCTCAAATGTCGAGTACAGTCCGATATCTCGAAGTAATACTTTACTCTCTTCCAGTTTTTAAAATACCGATAGCATAAGTACTGTTTCAGTCAGGTAGTTAGAAGAGATTTTATAAATATGTATAACATCTTATTCCGTTGATTCTTTTAAATTTTGAATGATTTCCGTTGACTTCTGATTTTTCAAAAAACCATACTTATTTAATAATTTTATATTTCTTTTGGTGTGCATTTTATTTTCCTACCCTTTTCTGTTCTAATTAAAATGTGTATCATAGAGTGGAAAACTAAAGCTTTATAAAGCGCTACTTAGAATGTTATATTATGTTCTCATAAAGCATAATCTAAGTATATTTCACATGTATTTGTTTTCTCCACACACACAAAAAAAAGTTTTTGTCACAAACTTCTATATTTCTATAGCCAGATGGCACTGGAAGTGCCATCCCAACCTTATTGTTATATAAGAATATACAAGAAAGTTTAGGTGAGGTTTTATTTTTTGTAAGAGATCTATATTCACATGGTTAAAATTTCATGGAGACAAAGTGATATGAATATATTAAAAAGAAGGTTTATTTTATAGTTAATAATTAATAATAAAATTATTTTTTAGATTTAAACATTAGTGTTTTTTTTTTCTTTATAATGCTCGTCGCCCGATGTACTTTGTCATAATAAGTCATGGACGGGCTAATTTGAAGTTTCGCCTCAAGCACAGGAAGGGATTCTATGTCTACACCTTCATCTAACCCAGGGATCTCCAAACTTTTTAGCTCGAGGGCCGCATTAACTATTAAATATCAGTTCGGGGACCAGTTTCTTCCAGGCATCTCTTTGGGATGGCGGACCACCCTTCCCCCGCCCCCCCCCCCCCCCCACCTTCCCCGAAAAACGTCTACCTCCCCCTTCAATGAATTATAATTTATATAGAAATATATACAAATTTAAAGTCTCTGAACTATCTATTGTTGAGCCCATGTGACCTTATTAAGTTCACCATTTTCACCACAGGATTCAGTACACTGCTAATGTCCATATGTTTAGCACACAAAGCTTGCTGGTGAATAATACAGTGGAGGATCGTAGGTTGAAGAATGTTTTTCTCATTTGTTTGTCCAACCAAGCCTTTCATTATGCCACTCATGTACTTTCCTCCATGAATTGTCTGATAACTGAGGTTAGTCCAGTTCAAGTTATAATCAGCAAATGTTTTTTTTTTTTACTAATTGAATACATGTTTTTACTAATTGAATACATGCTTTGTAGGGAAGCCAGGTTTTGTGTTATAATCATGTCTTCATCCACACCTCTAATGAATAAGAGCAGTTAAGAGGTGAAACAGCTGTCCAGAGACTCATCCATTACAATTAAAAATGGCAAAACTTGCTTGCATTTTTCGCCATTTGAGTCACACTGTTTTCACCAATTTCCACAACATGGCGGGCAATTATTTTGAATTTTCGGGGCATAGTTCCTCAGCCACCCCCAACAATAATTTTTTTTCCGTGGTGAGAAGACCTCGCGGGCCGCATCCGGCCCGAGGGCCGTAGTTTGGAGACCCCTGATCTAACCTATCCTATGATAGGTAAGTTGACAAACTCTAGTATATAGAAAAATAAATAATACCAAATGAAAAAATATATACCAAGTCTTTTTATAAGATAATAATCAGATGAAACTATAGTGCGCAGATTTTGGTTGTATAAACAAAATATTTTAATTACGATGCTTATTCGTTGCGCTTTTAGAATAATAAATCATGTATTTAAGATTTTACATACCCGATCTGAATGTTCCTTTTTGGCGCGTTTTTTCACTTAGGCTTGGGTTTTTTGCAGATATAGGTTCACAACAGTGGACTGAGCAAATAATTTATGTTGCATTTATTTAATAGTAAAATATTTTTATTCAAGAATATAATAAAGAACATAATAAGATTAATTTTTTTAAAAGTTCTAATCAGCCTATCAAAAGTATCGGCTTATTTGAAAGTTGTAAAAGTAACTAGAAACACTAACGCCGTGCTATAATAGAAATGAAAAATAATTAAGTGAAAATAAATAAAATGTTACAAATACATGTGCGTTTTTTTTATTTTTAATATAAAGAGCTGCAACATGCATGCTGTATTAAATAATAACTGGAAACTAGTTTAATGTTGAATTTTTTTGCATTAACACCTAACTTTCATAAAGCATTTTACACAATTGAAATTATATTTAACTTAAGATTTAAGATTAAATTTATCTCACAGAAAGAATATGCATTTAGAAACACTACAATTGTTCAAATATAACAATAATGAAAAAACAGTTTATCAGAAAAAATAGTATAAAAATTTGTAATAGTTAGATTATAAGTTAAAAGGCATATTGTTGTGTCAGACTGAGTTTTATGGTTAGTTTCGACAAATACTATACAGTTAAATAATCTATATAAACACAACAACTTTTTTTTTCAAAGCAAATTTACCACTTACTGCTATGAATAAAATTGACAAGTTTAGACTTGATAAAAAGCGATAATAATTTCAAAATAGCACAAGTATTTTTGACAATATTAAAATTATAAGCTTGATGACAACATTTTTTTTAACAATCAACATACTTGTCAACGCAACTACCACAAGAAAAAAACCCACAGTTTTCTAATTTAATAATAGAAAATTAATAGACTTACAGGATTCACAGGATTTTGTGTCAGCATAGTGTTTCAAATGCCAATGTTGTGCTTGATTTTCGCATTCCTATAAATATATAAATAAATATATATATATATATATATATATATATATATATATATATATATATATATATATATATATATATATATATATATATATATATGTAAAAATAAAATCTCAGGACAAATGATCTCAGACAAAATATCTCAGACAAAATATATCACAGCGACATTTTAATAGTATGTACGATGATTTTAGTTTATTTGAACTTTTTTAAATTGAATGACAATATGGATTTGTTTACTATTTTACGCTTAATAATTGTGAATAAAATGAATTTGTTAAACTTAACAAACTATCAAAAGATTTATTAAACTTTGTAGTAGCATTTGATTTGAAAAAGAGTAAAAATTTAAAAAAAAACTTAATCCTTTAGCCTGAAAGGTATAATAAATGATAATGTATTAAACAAAAAAGTAAAGGTAGTTACACAAAATTTATGTTTAAAAAACAATATGTTTCAAAAATGAGAATGTGTTTTCAGGTTCGTAACGTAAAACTATTGTTTTTATTGCACCATTAACACAAACATAACGTTTACGTTTCTTTGCTGGTAGGTACATCATTATGATCACACCTCTCCAATCCTTTGTGATCATGTATTGTGTGAAATCTTGCTCGACTTATTAAACATAATAAATTAATTTGTCATGATGAAAAGGGATATTTAGCACCAATTTGTGTAGAAATCTCGGAAAATATACAAAATATCTCAGGACAAAATATATCAAGACCAAAGATATTATGAACAAAATTTTTTACAGTAAAATACCTACCAAAAGCCAATTTAGGATGATTTATAAAAATTAAAAAACCGCAAAAATGCACAGTTTTGGCGTATTACAGTAAACATTAATTTTGTTGTAGCGTAATTGATTTACTTTTTTTTTTGTAATTTGTAGTATAATATACATACGTTGAAAAACTGATATTTACAATGGAATTTTAGCGTTATTGCCAATATATTTTTCCTACATAGACTAGTTATGCTTGCCGAACTTGAGAAAAAAAACAACCTTACCACCTCAGCTGGACAAAACAGGATCATACAGGATCTATTTTCTAGTAATGGAACGACAATAAAAACACCTTCGCATTTTATGTCCATAAAATGAGGCAGTCCCTTTTGATGGCGAGGACAGGGAGATTAGAAACCTTTTCGTGAGCAATACAATAACAAATACCTATTACGAAAAGTCAACATTTTATCTAGTTCGCTCATTAGTGATCGGATGACATATGTTCACAACTAATAGCTTTTTATATTGTCATGTTACATTTTTCTCTGAGATTTTTGTTCGTGAAATCGGTTGTCCTGATATATTTAGTCCCGACACTATTTGTTCCTGAGATTTTTATTTCGGATATTTTGACCAGGCCAATATTTCTAGTTTAGCCATTGATACAATACTAAACATTCAAAGTAAAATTACCATATTTATTTTGGTGACATATTTTTCTTGACTGACATGATAACTCAGTAACAGACTATACAAATCATCAAGGTCTTGTGGAATACCTGTGTAGAATTTGAATTAAATGAAAATGCTTAGTGTGGGAAGATCATAGATGATAGTAAAAGTAAAAAGACAAAAACGCTCAAATGATACATTTATTCAAAACCTAAACATTATTTCGTCAATTCAAGCTGTGTGAAATTTGCTGCATTATATCTAGCATGCGTTATTGCAATGAAAGAAAAAAAAAAAGAATAAGTAACGAATAACTTAGTCAGAGGCGTATCCAGGTTTTCGTTGTAGGGGGAGCGAAAACAGCAAATAAAGGCGCCGAATTTTTAGCACGTTCTATATACGTGTATAATATATATATATATATATATATATATATATATATATATATATATATATATATATATATATATGTAAATATATATATATATATATATATATATATATATATATATATATATATATATATATATATATTTATATATATATATATATATATATATATATATATAATTACTAGCTGTATGTCATTACTTCACTATGATGTAAAATAAATTGAAAGTAGCACTCTGAAGAAATAAGAAAAAACACACAATGTAGGCCGACAAAACAAAAATTTTATCAATCTTAACAAAAAAAAATATATATATACACACACTACAACAAAAAACAATGAACGTTTCACAATCTGTTTAGTAATTCTTGTAAAAAAAAATTCTTAAATAATAATTCCTGGGAAATTATTTATGACAAGTGAATTAGGGGAAATAATCACTCTCTTAATATAAATATGTATATATCTACACATTTAATTAGAAATGTCAAAACAAATAATTACTTTAGCATGTGTTTACACAATGTTTTTGTCTGTAATCAGAATTTAATATATCGTCATCATAAATGCTGAAGTATTACAGCATAATGAAAGTTTTCAAAATCAGAGTTGGTATAAAACCACGCTTTTCGTTATAATAGAAAATATTCGGAATAACAGCCTACATTTAACTAAATGTCGGTCTTTTAGTTCATATCATTTATTTTAATTAACTACTGCTTCTTTGTGTTCTTTAGAGAACCATTTTTAACATAGTGATAGGTATGGGTTAGATCACTGTATTGATCACACACCTTTTTACTGGTAATTGCAAAAACAATATTAACAGAATTTTACGTTTCAAAAGCTAATTTTCTGGCGGCATGGTACTTTGGCACATCATTACGCGTTTTTCTACATGCACTTAACAGATCAGTTCGGGGTGGGTTTGGGGGGGGGGGGGGGGGTTCAACTTCATTCACCACTGTCCGTTCACTTTAGGTCAATTAACCAACCCAGTGTATACCTAGGTGTGACATTAATATCGCTCTACACAATTGTGGTGGTGAGGTGTGTGTGTGTGTGGGGGGGGGGGGGGGGAAGATAACCAACTCAGAGTGAACATAGCGTCAGTTTTTAGATGACTGTTCTAAACATACATATATATTACACAGATATATATTACAGAAATATATATTACAGAAATAGATTTAAATAAGTAGCAGTGGTATTATGACAATATTTTTTTTACAGAGGGGTCCATGGGGGAGGGGGGTTGTAACTGTTTCATATAATTTGTAATCGTAATCACTATCGCCCAAACTGTAAGAATACTACTACTTCATCGTGATGACGTTGTTCTCTTCTTCTTCGTTCTTAATTATTAGTAATGAAGGGGATCGAGATTTATCTGCCAGTGTGGTTTTGAACTCGAGACTTTGTTCGAATTTATCAACCATGAGCTTTTTTGCCGACTCGACCACGCCTCCAACACAATTAAGCGTTACGTGTCACCTGGTTATGCGCCATTGAGGCCATTGACTCCGATTTCAGCCTGCTTTTCTTTTTGGATTTGCTTCCATAGCCTTTGTCCAACCAAGAACAAACTACAAGGCAGCAGTTGTTTAATTTTGGAGTTGTCTCTCCTAGAAAAGTGGCTGTCCCCAGCTAACGAGCCTCATCTGCCCGAGGGTTCAAACTCGAGACTTTTCGGTTTAGCAACCATGAGCTTTACCGACTCGACCACGCCCCCTATGACGTTGTTGACCTTGTCAAAATTTCCCCACCACTACGCAGTTTGCTCATAAGTAAATTTAAATAGAGGTGCCACATCAGTTGTATTTGTTTCTGTATTGTAATTTAAAAAAAAAATTAATCACACGATATATATATATAAAGTAATTATGTGTGAAGTTTTATGTATAACATTTTCTGATTCAATTATTCGTAAGCAAATACATTATACAGTTGCCTTAAACTTAACACCCCTCTTGCCAAGTGGTACTATCGTAGAGATTTTTCTAAACATTGCAATGCATCGTAATGGTTATTTTTAGAATGGCAAACTGATGCAGCTGTTAATACGTGTTGTAAACGTAGACACTACTAGACTAGTACAATAAAGCTTAATTGCTGCATGAAAAGAAATCTTGTGATTTACATAGATGTGCCGACCAAAAATATTTTTTTTAACAAATATCATTGTTTAAAACTTTGAGTTTAAAAAGTTTCCAAAAAGGCGCCACTTTGCTGAAAATGACCCGAGGGGGAGCGGCCGCTCCCCCTGCTCCCCCCCCTGCGTACGCTACTGAACTTAGTGTGCAAAGAACGTTTTCTGCTATCTAAGACATCAGAAAAGAAAAGAAAGTTCATCCACCATTAGAACAGAAACGCATATTTTAAAACAGAGTAAAAACAGGAAACAGAGTAATGATACATTTTTTATAGTAACAATAAGAATTTTTTATTTTATTTTATTAAAGGTTTATTAAAAGCTTAGATTTTGATTGCGTGGTGTTGATTATAATACAATTAACACCAGGTGCCTTTCGTGCAGTTGTCTCATTCGAGCAAATATCCATTGCTGCATTTAAGCAAACGTCCATCCGGGGCAACAGCCTTAAGGCATGTTTATTTAGGGCAAACTCCCGGTTCCAATATATATATATATATATATATGTTACGGTCAAAGCCCGAAGTCGGCCAATGCGCGGATTGGCCGGCCAATGCACGCATTGGCCAATATCGCCTCCCATTGACCGGTCAAAGTCCGAAACTTTGCTTGATTTCGGCCTTTGGCCGGCCAGTCCGTGGACCGGCCAAAGTCTTAATTAGAAGATCATCTGGCTAGGGACGACCGGCCAAAGTCCGAATTAGAAGATCATGTGCAGATTTTGGTTTTTTTCATGCCGTAAGGATCATGAAATTAAGTTTTTATTAATTATTAATTACAGTAAATGACAGAAGCATTCACAATTTTTATTGTACTATAGTCTCAATCAATCAATATTACCATTTGTTACAACAAGTTGAACTTTTATGGCATTTAGAATTACATAGTAGCTTGTTATTTTTACACTTGCAGCGATTTGTTGTGCACTTGGTTGTGCAATTGCAGCGAGTGTAGCCTTGGCCCCCAGTCAATGATTGTGAAGATGCGATGGTTCGTAGTGATTTTTCCTCAGTGCCAACTGACGACAATAAGAGCAGTTTTTCGTGAAGAATTGAAAACTCACTTCTAGCATTTAGTTGTTTTAGAACATAATGTTCCGTTCCTAATTTGTAGAAACCGCCCTCGACGCGCATGACAACTGCAATCACGCTTCGGGGATCACTGCGACCTCTATCAACATCTGGAACACGGATGCGTACATTGTGACCCACATCAGCATCTTTAAATTTTGTATTTGATGTTTTAAGCATCTTAGTACCTTGCAAGCTAGTATGAGCTGCTGACCTGTGTTCCATGATGTCTTGTTTGTTGTGACATAATCTGCAGGTAATATTTCCTCCGTTACCTTCGTCTGCTTCATTGGGTATTCCACACATAGCATGAATATCGTTGCCACAGGATCCACAAGAATGAGCTGCACTACAATGTTTTTCACAAACTATACAGAATCTGTTGGCCATTATTGTCACGCAACTGGTCTGGACGTTCCGCCACGGCAGCAGATGTGTTAGCTGAGGAAGTCGTTGCATTTATGGCAATCTCCCTTTCTTGTTCAACGTTCTCAAGATCTGGTTCCTGACGGCCACGCCATCTCAACTCGCTTGGACACTATTGTTCAACTTACAAGGAACGCGGCAAAGTCTTTTGAACGTTCCGTCTTGTTGCACGTGGTCGGTGACGCCGACTGTCTTTGATTTTGTTCTTTGATGATTGTCATCACGGAGGACGCTGTCACATACAATTGTAGCCCATATATGGAAAATAATATGGATTTACATTTTTTCTTTTGACATGCTATGTCTGTCTCATGGTCTGACGGCCATTTTGATCCATGTCGCCTTGCATATAGAATGCTAAACAATACGTTACTCACAATGAAACCGCACCCAGAATAATGAAAACGCGATCACAACTTAGTCTAGATAAAACATTGGCCAGGACATCCTGGCCAGTGCGTGCATTGGCCGGCCAATGTAAAAAATACGCTGTCAAGTTGAAGCGCTTCGGACTTTGGCCAGTACGTCCGGCCAGTGTGCGCATTGGCCGGCCAATGTACGAAATGCGATCTTAGTGCTAAGTTCTTCGGGTTTTGGCCAAGAGAGCTATATATATATATATATATATATATATATATATATATATATATATATATATATATATATATATATATATATATATATATATGTATATATACAGTGGCGTAGCGAGGTCGGGTGTTACCCGGTGCGGCACTTAATAGTGTCACCCCCCCCCCCCCTCAAACTTTCGCTTTGCACCCAATATATATATATATACATATACATATATATATATATATATATATATATATATATATATATATATATATATATATATATATATATATATATATACATATAGGGTTATTTCGCCAATAAAAATCTCAAAGAGCTATACTGGATTGTTGAGAAGATAACTCATTTAACACTTAGAAAAGAAAACAATGTAACAGTAAAATAAGAAAAACGTTGTGGGTGGGGCGCTTTTTTGCCAAGGTAATTGAGAATGGTGAGTAGATAAATCGTTTATTTGATTGCATTACATCT